GGTACTTTGAGGGTGACAGAGCACTGGAGCAGGCTGCCCAGAGAGGGTGTGGAGTCTCCTTCTGTGGAGATACTCGAAATCCACCTGGACATGGTCCTGTGCAACTGCTGTAGGTGACTCTGCTTTGGCAGAGGGGTTGGACTGGATGATCTCCAGAGGTCCCTGCCAACCCCGACCGTTCTGTGGTTCTGTAACTTTGTGTAGCATAGTAAGGCATCTTCAAGTTTCTAACTAATAAGGCTATTTAAAATGTCATGGGTTTGGGTTTTTTTTTTTTAGCTTTCAATGAAGCAGTGACTTGTCTGTAGACATTAGGTGACAGGAAGGACAGCTAAGCAGTTGAATACAGAGACAAAAGAATGCTCTCTGTGTTTAGAAGAACAGGAAGGAAACAGTGTATGTAAGAATTTGAGTTGTAGGGTAAGCTAAATCGAAGGGGAGGGATGGCTCTTTCATTGTGAGATGTTCTAGGGTACATAAGATTTACCAGACAAAAGATATGCTCTGTTGTATTAAAACCCCAGAATTAGACATGGCTTGCTTTGTACTGCTCTAGAAGTTTATTCCAACTGCCTTAAAAGGAGGAACTATTCTTAAAATTAGTTATAGTCTTTCTATTCCAGTCCTGGTTTATGCAGTGCATGGAAAAAAAAAAAAGAAAAAAGTATAAATATTTCAAAAATGAGGCTTGGAGCGTTTAGCAGGCCCTTTGAGCATGGAAGAAGAGGTCATCAAAATTTCAGAAGGGTTCTTACGATGAAAATGTCTCCATTCTACCTGACTAATGTTAGCAGTTTCTCTGCTCTCTGTGTATTGCACAACCCAAGTTGCCAGTAGGCTTCTCGCTCCATGATGCTTGTCTCCGTATTTCAGAAGAGAAAATTGATGAGTAGGGAGACACTGTACTTGGCTGCAGGACTACACTCCTGGAGCAGGCAGCTTGAGATGGACACACTCCTTCATGGTTTCCTCTAAGTGTCACATGATTTTTGGCTGCTTTGTTGATCTTTCCATTGTCTTCCTTTCTAACGAGGAAGTGTAGGGAGCATCTTTGTGCTGTTAGTGTTTCCCTCTCAATGAAAGGCACATGAGATTGTACCAAAGCATGGTATTATTGTTGCAGTGGCTTGTGCATCAAAGGTCATTGTTGCTGACTACGTGAAGTGCATAGCCTTGTGTGCAAAGAAGATAACTTCATTTGGCATGAATGTTATTTACAAAAGCAATATTTTTAACAGATTTTTAAACCTCTCTATGGGAGAGATTGTCTACAGAAATACAGAAAGAATACAGATAAAATACTGACCAATGTACCAGTATCCTAAGCAACCCCAGATAGATGGAAGATACTGGATTCTGTGGTGTTAGTAACCAGAGAGTGTTCCCTGAAGTATGCCTGATCAGGTTTACAGCTTTCTGTTTCAGCATCTTTCTTTGTACCTTAAGGCTTTTTGCAGTGGCTGCTATTTGTGACAGTAGGGGTTGCGGTAGTTGGTTTCCCAAAATACATCACATGGGGGTTGTGCCCAAGTCTATTCTTAAAGATTCCTGCCTATAGCTGTAAATAAATATATTTTAATCCTTTGTCTTCCTCCTTATTGGAAAGGGATTTGTAACTTCATGCTCTTGTTTTGTTCTGGTGTTCCTCTAGAAAACTTTGAAACTGTTGCCTACTCTCTTGTTTTCTAAGTCTCTCTACCAGCCCTATTTCTGATGTAGGAAGCATTAATGAAGGTGCTAAAATAAGTAAATTGGGATATCACAGTTCTGGATTTGTTCGCAGTACGTTAAGTTGCTGAGTTTGACAATAGCATTTGGAAGAGTTGCATTTCATGATGAAATAAGCAAAGTGTTTTGTGACTTCTAGCTTGTTTTTTTACTGGAAATGGTGGCAACTTTAGAAATGTTATGTCATTGCTGTAAAATGGCACAGCACAATCGCATTCATTCCGTTAGTTCTAATGCTTTGACTACTTTTTTGGTAAATACCTGTCTTTTAAAGGACTGATTGATTGCTTCTCCATTCGAAAGATTAAAATGCAGCTCTTGTGCTAGAGATTTTTTTTTTTCAAATGAACATGGGAAAATCTGCTTTGTTTTTTTTGACTGAAGTGTTATATTTCTTATGTAAGATGGATGTTAGATATAATGAAGTCCATTGTATCATACGTTATCTGTTACGGCATTAGTATCTAAAGAATTTTTATCCAGTTGGCTGGAACAGCAGCCTGTCATTTCTGGATTTTGTCTTTAAGCTAGCTATTTTTGATCAGAAAAAGAGTAATAAAACATCTCTTGTTTAGTCTAACTGTTCCCATGATGCATATCAGACACAGAGGGAAAGTGTTTCCAAATAGAATACTTAGAAAAAACAATAAATCTTTCTCATGGTAGTATAGTGCTGTTCCCTGTGAGAAGCAGAATTGTTCTTCAGAGCCAGGACAAGGCAGAAAAGAGATTAATTCAGGTCTTCATCCATGTACTTATTTGTAGCTGTATTCCTCATTCTGAAGGTGCAAAGAAAGAGATGGTAAGAAAATTGCTTATTTGTTTTAACCCTATAACTTTATATACAGTAATTACTGGAAAAAGTGATTGGCATCAAACTCTATGTTTGCCCGTTTGAGCATTACACATCATAGCTTGTGAAATATTTATTTCAGTAGACTAGTAAAAAACTGGGATATCTGTGTAAGAAAGGCAAGTTGTTCTGTATAATACTAAATCTAGTTTCCACAGAGGTCTTCCTTCCTATAAAATGGTCTCAATCAGAGCTCCAGGCAGAATCTCTGAGCAGCTCGTGCCCAGGCTTTTAGCAGGGAATTAGTAGGGATTTGCTATTTTACCTAGTACTTGTGCTTATGATACTTGTGGGTACATAATCTCTCTGAAACCTTTGAGCTCTCTGTCAAGTTTAGTCGAAACTGAAATTTGCACTAGAAAGTGGGAAGGAGACTGATGAAGGTGGATACAGCATGGCTGCGCAGCTTCAAGAAACATGGCTAAACTCCGCTCTTTCTGGAGCTCAGTATCTTCCTGTCTCCTGCAAAAACTAAATGGAACGACTGCCACATCTCATCAGTTCCTTGCTGTCTCAGGGGCTTCAGCCGTACGTTAAGCTGAATGCCGTATGTGGAAAGCAGGAGGTACGAATCTCCTGAGGAGTGAAACACTTTAACCTTTCTTGAGTTTGGGGGCTGTCCAGAGTATGTATATGGAAATTTATGGTTTGTGATAAATGAGAAGCTAGACTGGCAGACTATTTTTGGCCTTAAAGTGCGTGAGGTGAACCTGCATAGTCTCATTACAAAACTCAGAAAGTGTTTTCACCTTTGGTCCAAATACTGTGGATATAGGATTGTCATACTTTTCATTTCCATGTCTCTACAGCTTCTGGTGTAAACGTACTAAATTTTGCAAAAAGAAAGAAAATGTAATAGTTATGAAGGTACAGTTGATGTCCTTCAAAAACCAGAAGTAAAAGCCACTTTTTTTTTTTTAACTCTCTGGATTAACCAACTACTTTTCAGATTCCTTTGGTATACTCTGCATCTTCTGCACTGTGATCAGAGCCTCAATTCCTTCTAGTCTGTAAGCAGATAAAGGACAAAGACAGTGCACGCTACACCAGAACTTTGCACTTCAAGCTATCAAACCTGTAATGCAAAGCAGACTTGCCGGATTTGTTTAAACATTACTTGTTCCTAGCTTTATTGTTTAGCATGTGAGACGAGTTAAACTACGAAGAATTTAACCTATGAAGCTTATTTACAATTCAAGTGAACGAATTAACATCTTAAGGCCGTAACATCATACGGCCTGGAAAGGAACTTGCATAGCTTAGAAGGCTGACAAAGATATGCCTTCATAGTGGAAGGAGGTGGGTTGAAATGTCTGAGCCAGCAGGTTCTTTTCTTTAAATACTTGTTGGAAATGCTTTTTTGTTTTTTGCCTTTTTTTTCACCTTTTTTTTCTTCCCTAGCTTGTTTTCTGAATGAGACAAAGATGCACGATGTAATTTATTCTGGAAAGGAGTGTAGTTTTAAATGTGTATGAAGCCTGCAGCCTTCTTTTTAGATACTTCATGTGAGCATGCTAATTCCATCATCATGTTCTAACAGGGGTTGTTTTGGAAGATCTGAATTAAAGGTGCTTGAGAGGGAGGTGGTAAGGAAGACAGACTTGGGTACGCTGCATTAAAAGAACATCATCTTTGTGCATTAAGAATCTATTCATGAAAGAAGTTTGCAGCTAATTTATTTATGATATCTAAAACCCAAGTTCTGCAAAGCCTTTGCTTAATTCTCTTGTCTTCTACTTAACTGCGTACTTCTAAATGCTTTATTTTTTTTCATTTGGGATTTAAGTTTGTTTTGGTCTGTCCTGTGCTCTGCCTCTATGCACAAGAGGTGGTTTAGATCCAAGCCTAGAGTAAGATCAAAACTTTTTAAAAACATGAAGCAGAACGTGAAAATAGAAACACTACTAGGACTTAGCAAATTCTTTTGTTTGATTTTGTGTCATGGCTAGTGGAGCTAGTAACCTAGCATCATGTGAGGAGAAATTTATCACAAATGGATATAACCCGGGTGTCTGAGACATTGTCAAAGTCTTGACGCTTGTATGTCAACATACAGCTAAATGAAAAACTTGCTCCGGTTAGGAGTGTGCCATCGAGTGTCGTACATATGGTCTTATATGGCATACTGCAGTTTTTATCTCCCCTGCTGTTGCTGTGCTGTGGGTGGTACTACGCTGGCTGCCAGTAAAGACTTAACAAGGCCTTTTGTTTTCTTAGTTCCTCATTGTTCCTGCGATTGTGGGTAGTGCCCTTCTCCACCGGCTTTCTGATGATCGGTGGGAAAAGATAACAGCATGGATGTATGGCATGGGGCTCTGTGCACTCTTCATTGTCTCCACAGTATTTCACATCATTTCTTGGAAAAAGAGTCACTTAAGGTATTGCTATAAGATGTATAAGATGTTTTATTTTCATGTTCTGTGATATTTTTCCATTGTGTTTCTCAGTCAAAACCATGATTTGACAGAAGGCTGGAGAGTGGTGCCTTTTACTGAATCATGAATCACTCTTGATTCTGTTGGAAGAAATAGTGAGCCAAGCTCATATACAAATGAACTTTAATGTCCGCTGCTTTTTTGCAAAGGAAATATGTGTTTGTCTAGGCCCTGGTGGCTCTTAATCCAGAAATTGAATGGGAAAAGCATAATCTAAGTGCATACTGGATATAATCCCATTGCAGAAATGAGAACACTGTCTGGGACCGTGGCATACAGAGGAATACAGAGTTTGCCAAGAGCATTATAGTACAATACATAGCTAACTAACAGAAAGCCTGCTTGGGAGCAAGGCGGCAATAGCAAAACTAACATGTAATTTTTTTGTTTGGTTGTTTTATTTTTTTGGTCCCATTATGACTACTGTATAATTCCAGGCTATAAATTGGATTTAACCAGTAGTCACTGAATAGTAACAGTTTCTGGATTAGGCAGAGTTGATGTGACAGCTTTCTGTCTCCTTGCCAGAGAGCAAGGTGCATGATGGGGTGGAGAAGGGAAGAGGAATGAGGAATGGAGGAGTGCTCATCTCCTACGTGTCTCGCTTATGACCTTGTGAAGTCGAAGTCAGCTGGACAGCCTTCCAAATGGTTTTAAGAGGTTATGCAATCAATGGTATTTTCCTCAAAGTAATTTCAAAGCGTGTCAGGAAATTGAGATGATACAAAAATCTGTCCAAAATCTTTCTTGATGACCTGTTTTCTCTCTTACTAGGACAATGGAGCATTGCTTTCACATGTGTGACAGAATGATGATTTATGTCTTTATTGCAGCATCATATGCACCATGGTAAGAAAGCTGAAGCATAGCTTCAGAATTACAGCTTTTTCCAGTGTAAACGGTTTATCATTGAGGTTTTCCAAAATGTATAGGTGTCTTCTTAGATGCAGTTGACCACATTCTGCATTGCGAAATGCAACGTAATGTAGTCTCCTGGGATTTGCTGAACATAAAGGAATGTTAGAGAACAGCAGAAAGTAATTTATTTATATTCCACATAGCCCAGTTTATGCTTCCCTCACATCGATGCAAACACACCTTCTGCCTCTCTGTGTATAGAATGTCCAACTGTTTTCTCCCCCATCATGCCTAAGTTATAGCTCAGATATTTATTTATTTTTATCAAGCCCTACTACTCTTGTGTCAATATGGTCCATTTCTTCATCACTTTTGTCTCTTGAAATCTTTGTACCTCTAGGTTAAATCTACGTGAGCTTGGACCTCTAGCATCTCACATGCGTTGGTTTATTTGGCTGATGGCTGCTGGAGGAACCATTTATGTATTTCTCTACCATGAAAAGTAAGAATTATTATTTGCATTTAACTTTAAACTGAAATTAAAAGGTGGGGGCTTTCTTGCTTTCTGAGTGTTCCTATCCAGCCATCTACACTTTGAAATAAGAGCTTTGAAACAGTGGAAATATGTGATGAGAGTGATGCAAACTTACATCTCGTTGGAAGATAATTGTATTCACCCCCTGTCATAACATGTCTTTAAGCTGTGTTATTGTCTTCTCTTAAAGGGGTGGGAGGGAAGTACCCACTTTTAAAACTTTAACTTTTGCTACAAGAAAGCAGGGGTTGAGAGTGTGTAGAGTAAGAACCTAATTGAAATGGTGGCTTTTTTACACCCCTAATTTACGTAGCATAGATTATACTGCAACATTATATTGTTTGTGTATACTGATGCATATTGACTCCTGCTACCTTCTTGATTTTGTTTAGAGATGTGAGTCCTTGAGTTTCAGATCTGAATTCTCAAGCTTGCTTTCATTGCTTATCCTCAGGGAGCAAGACCCAACTTTTTTGTTCTGGAGATGAGCTACTGAGGTTCTTGTCAAATAAGAAAATATAAGTTGTCTCAATGTTTTATTCTGACTAGTACTTAATGCAAATGAATGCATCTAGGCAGTATTTAGAGAAGAAGGTGTTGCCTGCAACTGTACATACAATGCAGAGATAAATACTAGCTTTATTTTTGTCGTAAAACATTGGTTATCTATCTGCATAGAATTTTTTGAATAGTTTAATGGACGCATGCTAACATAAAACTTAAAATATTTTCTTTACTGTTGAAGGAAATGTTCATCCTCTGTACACCTTCTTAAATGACTGAAACTGTTCCTTTTTAGGTACAAGATTGTTGAACTCTTTTTCTATTTAGCAATGGGATTTTCTCCTGCTCTTGTAGTGACATCCATGGTAAGGAATGTGACTATTAACATTACAAACACACAAACTTCCCTTTGGTAACTAGCTTAAGTTCCAGTTCAGCTCTTTCTTCTGAAAAGATGTTAATTTTGGTCCACTATAATTGTAAATGTTCTCTGCAGAAGAACCAAATATAGTCAGCCATATTTGGGGTTTATAGTTTACATTTCAATGAGATACTACCTTGTTTTGTTGAATCTGGGCTGCAGGGTCTAGATAAAAAGAGCTTAGGTTCCAAACTTCACTTCTGAAGGTGAAAGGATATTAGACATAACAATTACATTACTTCCATTTGAGTAAAAATGATAAAGATGTGAAGTACCTTAGCCTGTCAAGAAATGTTTCTAAATATTACTATTTATGAACTTACTTAATGCCAACTTATCACTTATGAATTGGGAAAGAAGCTTTTTCTTTATAAAAGTGGAATGGACTTCTGATAACACATTGTCCTTTTTCTCAAAACTTTGACTTATTTATAGTTACACATTTTAAATAACTTTGAATAACGCTCTCTGCTGATAATATAAATCTGACACCTCAACAAGGTAATGCCTTAGCTGTTCCATATGAATGCTGTGCTATACCAAAACCTTGCTGGACACTTCATCTGACTAGATGGAGTTGCATTAAACTTGCGCTTACGCACAGTAATGTGGTTTTCTTTTTCTCCACGTTTGTCTGCTCTGCTAATGAGCATGAAGCAAAAAGCAAACTTGTCTTAATTCTTGAGTTATCCCTCTATTACTTCTATAGTGCTGTTGAGACATATTATATAAATATATTATTACATATTTCAGAGTCTAATATAAATATACTGGTTTTCTCACTGATCCATCTGTCATATCCAAGATGTTCTGAGTTGATAGCCAGCTTTCGTTTCTTGGGCGGGGGGGAAGCACTTTGTATTTTGTACATAAAATACCCTTTCCCTCCTGAACATCCTACCCCCAATCTTTCCTTGTTAATTGACAGAGCAACACGGATGGACTTCAGGAGGTTGCCTGGGGAGGCTTGATATATTGTCTGGGTGTGGTGTTCTTCAAGAGTGATGGAGTAATTCCATTTGCCCATGCCATCTGGCACATATTTGTGGCCACAGCAGCTGCTGTTCATTACTATGCCATCTGGAAGTACCTTTACAGAAGTCCTGCAGACATAATTCGTCACTTATGATAGATAGGTATCTATATATAAAAAACATAATCTGCACTTGGCATCTGTAACAGTATTATTTGACTTAAGGAATTCGGGGAAATTGGAAAATTGCACAGAAAAACTGCACTGACTTTGGTAGTTCTCTGAACACAATTACTGTGAACTGATGTTGTGTGTGTCCTGCAATTGCCCATCATATGGCAAGTGCTGTAAATAACCAAGATACTGTACTGCAGTACTACGAGTCCATTCCACGTTAGTAGAACTGGCTACCTGATGTTTACAAATAGATTTTGTATTCTAGTTTAATTTTAAAATTTTTAACTACGTGAATTTTTCTAAATTAGTGATTCAAATGGTGAAGTCAGTGCAATAGCGAAAATGTAACTCTCTTGATTTGGAATTGGTTTCTATCACCTTTCCACTAGTCATTTATTAAACATGAATCACAGACAAATAATCTACTTTTACCACCCATTATCTTGATATAATGTGACTTTTATAGAAACTTTTTGTGTTTTTTGTAAACTTCAAAAGTACATTTATTGAACTGAAAACACACAACTGTCATCTATGCAGTTACTCATGTTGCAAAATCTTGCAAGAAATGGTTACATTCCACACACTGTACTGACAAGCAAACGTTGTACCTCTTCCAACGGTTGTATTACAAGTGTAATTGTAATATCCACTTTTACGAACGAAAATCTAAATGTGATTCTCCTGACTTTTAACATGGTAGTATTCTGCTCATCTATAGCACCACTTAGACAGCACCTTAATTTGGCTTTATCCGTGATGAAAATGAAGTGCTTTAACAGAAATGGTTAACAGGGGTTTCTCCTCGAGACTCCCAGTTCTGGTCCGTGCTGCCCAGGCAGGCAGCAGTTTGGATGAAAGCTGACTTACCAAGGGTTGGCAGTATTAAGGAAGGTGGACAGCCAATATCCCCCTCTCCAAACCAGAGAGTCAGTCATTTCTCCAGGATAGCTATACACATTTCGGTGCTGTAATATTAAGGCTTGGATTTTCAAAGGGATTTAAATTGGCCAACAGAAACAGTTCCCACCAACTTTTGTTGGGGTTGTTCTGTTGGGAAATCCTGGTCAGAGCAGCAGGTACAGAGCAATTGCTGACCACTTTGACTTCATGGTTATTGGTTCTTCACAAGCACAGCCTTTCAGGGAGGAGAGCTTGAAGAACTTGATCTGGTGTCACTCTGGGACTTAACATGGAGTAAAACTGGTCTTAAACTGTATTGCTGTCTTTCTGTACAGGAAAACCAAATGTGGTAGCAAGTCCCGATTGTAGAATACGTGCGTTAAATGACCGGATGTAGAAGAGTCATTGTAATACTGTTTGTCCAATAATTGTATCCTGTCCCACTATATAATGAATGTCTTATATTAAGATTGACTTTATCCTTTTTCTAATTTACTCAGTTTTTCATGTCAGTATTTAAAAACAAAACTGAAACGTGTTGCCTTTTTCAGATTTTGTTCTGGAATATTGCCTGTCTGCAAACAATAAGTAGCAAGATAGGGATGTTTTTCAAGGTACCGTTTAATATTGCACCTAGATTTGCCAGTGGGTTGCATCTTTTAGAATATATACATTTGTATACGGAATTTACAAGAGGGACAAACTTCAAATTCAAGGCATTGAAGAATTGCTGTGTGGTGTTAGGAGATGACTGGAGAAACGGCGCCACTACAGCAGACTAGTTAACTGCCCCGAAAGAGGACAAATGGAACAGCTGGGCAGGTAATTCTTAGTACAGCAGTCTCGCACATCTGGATGCCTCAGTTTTTTAACATTGTCTATTTTAATATTTTCCACTTTTTGTGAGTTCATATATTTTGTTTAAATTGCAGTACTGTTAAAACCACTAAAATACATGTAAAGGTTTTCTGTAGTCAAACGTGAAACTATTGCTTGAATATATTTGTTTTAAGTTAATTTTTCATGGCATTGCTTTTTGGAGTGTTTGAAACGGTTTTTAAAAAATTTCAATTCGCCAAAAATATTTTGAATTACTGTATTCTAGTCAATATGATATTGAATGTACTAGACTAACAATAAACATTTTGTGCAATTTGGAAACTGTGGTATTCTTGGTGGTTGGGTTTTTTCCCCCCTCCCACACTTAGGCAGGGAAGTAAGGGACTGACACTGTTGCCACTCTTGACATCAGAGATCCAGAGTTCAACCTAATGACCCTCGTGCTTGCTCAGTCAACTCATTAATTAAAAATAGTAGGAAAGATTACAATCCAAATAATTCCATTTGTGGTATGGAAAAAAGTACATTTATGTGTAAATTTTGGTCAATATTGGGAACTTGCTACTTTCCCTTTCGCTGTTCTTGATCAATTTTCTTATACCGTTATATACTGGGGTTTGGGTTTTTTTTCAATTATGTAACACTAAAATACATCATTTTGCTCCTATCCCTATAGGGGCATTAAATATAGACAAGCTGAACTAAAAATGCATTTCTGTCTGGAAAACAAATATGTCAATTAGCCTTTTTTTTTCTTCCCTGTGTCTAATTGCAGCTCTCCAGGCTGATTCCTCCCAGGAGTAACAATAGTGCTTTTTCCCGTAATGTTTGCTGCAGTGGCAGAGATGTGATTTTGTTTTTGCAGATGGACCTTTCCAGAGCACGTCTAGGATCCAGCAGGTACTTTGCTGGATACTTTCATCACTTTTTAGGTTGTATTTTTCTAACACAGTATTTTATGCATCTGAAAAATAATTTGGTTATCTGAAGAGATTAATTTGAGGATTTATTCTAGAATGCACTTCTTTATTGTATTTTTTTTTAATTTGACAGCAACAAGGAATGCACAAAGAAAGTATTCCATGTTTTTTCTGTTAACAAAAGCAGTCATAAAAGCAGACTTCTTTTGCAATTCTGTCATCCCTGCATCCCTCTTAATTACTTGTGATCATGGTAAGAAATTGTATTACTGCCTTCCAGTTCTAGGCAAGTGATGAAGTCCTTTCAAAGGAAACTTGAGTGTCTGAGTATGGGTTTTGCAGCCTTTGCTGTATCTAGTGAATTATGGTGTAAAAATGGGATACTTCAAAGACTCTCTGAAACAGTTGGTTATCATGGTTTTCCAAAATTTTAAAAAGTTACCTAAATTCCAGATCAGCGTTAGCAGACAGACAAAATGGTTCCATTTAATGTGTTTTTACACAGTTTTGCTCTACTGAATAGAGTTTTGCCTGACTGGAAGCACCAAGCCTGCGTCAGGCACGCAGTGTTCGGTCGTTCCATAGACGAGCGGTTCCACGGTGCGGGCAGCGCAGGGGATGGAGTGACGCACCTCGGAGGCTCAGGGTTATCGCTGTGGTGGATCCTAAATGGCGGTATGGTTCCTTACGTGATTTTCCCAGCTGGTAACTGTGAATTGTGTAAATCACACAGGTGTCATAGCATTTTGAGAGCTGCTGCTTGGTGAAATGCGTGTGTGTCGGGGGCCGAAATGAGCAAGTTAGAGAAGATACTGAAGTTTTTCACAGAGTTCTTTATTAAACCTCTTCCTTAAATGCCCCTCACCCTCAGGACCCTGCTGCTTGTTTGGAAACCTCTTTGAGTCACCTGCACAATTCTTTATTTAGGTCTAGTGTATTTAGCCATGTGATTTCTCTGGAGGCTGACTGTCATGTTCACAACATGTGCTTGACTAAGTCTTTTCTCTGTACTTTGCTATTTTTAAAAGAATGCAGGACGTTAGTCTCTGCTCCCTAATTGCTTTCACCATCAATAGGTGTCGTAAAATTAAAGCTGAAAATAGTTAACAAAAGAACGACCAGGATGGGAAGGTGGATGTGTGCCGGCTGTGCGGTGTGGGCACTTTCAGCCTTTCTGCCTTCCCTGTAACGCTGAGCAGGTTCTTCGCCTGTGGCACGGACCGTTGTTCTTCAGCAGCCAGAGGCTGCTCGTGGTTGTTCTGCTGCTTGAAAGTGTTCCATTCATCGTTTGAATTAATTCACTAAGTGCTGTCGTGGTCTGGAAAGAGAATGTACGTAAGACACCTGAAATGTTTGCTAGTGGCTATTTGGAAGCGTTTGGATGCTTTTAATTGGGTGGTACCGTGGTGCTGGAAGAACTGATGCTGCCCAACTGTGGCACAAGCAGTAGTGTAGGGGGAATGCTGTGCCTTCGGCTGAACACCCCCAGGCTGCTCAGAGTCGGGTTTTGGGTGGGCTTTGCAGCCTGTCTTGAAAATTCAGCACAAGGAAGTTTGAAGTGAAGTGCCTTGGGAGTATCTGTACCATGTACCATCTGAACTACTGGAGCAGTTCAGTCTGACAGGTCCAACCTCTAGGGAAGGCAGCAGTTTCTTTAAAAAAGAGTTTTCAAATTCCTGTTTGGGTAGCAGTTTGTTACTGGGTGGGGTGTCTGCTAGCTTGTTTTCACACCAGGCATCCTCCTGCTTGTGGTGAGCCTGACTGCGAGCAGTGAGGGTGACAACGCTTGTTCCCTTTGTAGAACCAGGGCACTTGTTACTAAGGATAAGCTGGGGAACCAAAATCCTCTTGCAAAAGGCTAGCGGTGAAGCCAGCACCAGTTTTATAACAGAAGTTACATCATTGACTCTAATGAGGCTGGTGTGCTCCCGGAAGGATATATTCAGATGTCTTTGTTGCTTAGCAGCATGAGCCCTGCTGGTGCTGGATTTGGGTGCCCAAATCCTTTAGGTGCCTTTGAAAATCTCCCTTAAATTTTCACATAGGTGAAAAGCCATTAGTTGAGACCTACTGAATTAGTGGTTTCAGCTCCAGCAGACATCTCACTTTCTGATGTGCCGTGTATGATTCCAGGAGCGACGCAGAGGTGTGGCGTGCCGGCAGCGAGCAGCCACAGCGTGCGGCTTCCGTGACACGGTCAGCCCGCAACCCAGCCTTGTCTCCGACCGGGCCTTCAGACCAGACCGCAGGAGGTTTGGATGGAGAGCTGTAGTTATTCAGGATGTTGAAACACTGAAACCCAGCCCACAACACCTACTGAACTTGGGGAAGCCGTGGTACGTTTGGCTTCAAACAGCAATGATTTAGGAGCATCGTAAATGCTAAAGGGTTGAACATCATTGCTGTGGGAACTCAACCATCTTCTCAAATTAAAAGCCATGCACTTGGGAAGCTAAGGAGTAGTTTAGGAAGGGAATATGGATTTTATTTTTTTTAAAAAACATGTCTTCATATAGGAACATGTTGGACTGAATGAAAATGGCTTTTGTCTTGATGCTGATGGTGGTGCTGAGCAGCTTAATCAGCCTTCTGCTAAATCACTGAAAGTAAAGCTTGAAGGGACTCAGATATTTTTAGCCCATCCTCTGCCTGCCGGCAGGATGAACTCTGCCTGTCATTCCCGACGTTCTTGTCCAACGTGTTCTAAAAAACCTCTAACAATGGGGATTTCACAATCCTCCCAGGCATTTTACTTCAGTGTTTCACCCTCTGCCCTCTCTTCTGCTGTCCAAGCAGTATTTTCTGTGCTGTAATTTCAGCCCGTTACTCCTTGTCCTGTCGGCAGTGGGCTCAGAGCAGAGCCCTTACAGGCAGCTTTCATGTCGCTGGCGGCTGTCACTTCTTCCCTTGCTTTTTTCTCCCCTAGATTTAAACAAATTCAATCCCTTCAATCTTTCTTCACAGCCACCTCGTTTAA